ATGATGAGAGCAATAGAGTGATGGTTGACACACTGGCTGCAGTGGCCAGAAGAGCTCATGCATGCAGGGCAAAGCTCCTGATCATGGGTGACTTTAACCACAAGGAAATCGATTGGGAGAACTTGGAGCCACATGGGGGCCTAGATAAATGGAGGGTTAAGATGATGGAGGTGGTACTGGAAAACTTCATGTACCAACACGTAAGGGACACTACAAGAGAGAGAGGATGGGATGAACCAGCGAGACTGGACCTAGTATTCACCTTGAGTAGTGCAGATATTGAGGACATCACATATGAAAGACCCCTTTGTGCCAGCAATCATGTGGTTTTAAGCTTCAGATACACAGTAGAGCTACAAGTGGAGGGGGAAGCAGGAAGGACAGGGTGAATGAAACCATACTACAAGAAAGGGGACTACACGGGAATGAGGAACTTCCAGAACGGGGTTCAGTGGGACAGAGAACTGGCAGGGAAGACAGTTAATGAGATGATGGAATATGTAACAACAATGTGCAAGGAGGCTGAGGAGAGGTTTGTACCCAAGGGTAACAGGAATAATGCAAAATTCAGGATGAGCCTATGGTTCAACCAAAAAGGTGCAGGGAGGCAAAACCCAAGTGTACTAGGGAATTGAAGAAATATAGAAGGCAAAGGACCCAGGAGAATAAGGAGAGCAGTCGTAGAGACAGAAATGAATATGCACAGACAAGAAGGGAGGCCCAACAATATGAAAATGATATAGCAGCGAAAGTCAAATCTGACCCGAAGCTGTTATACAGCCACATCAGGAGGAAAACCACAGTCAAGGACCAGGTAATCAGGCTAAGGAAGGAAGGAGGAGAGACAACAAGAAATGACCGTGAAGTATGTGAGGAACTCAACAAGAGATTCAAAGAAGTGTTCACAGAGGAGACAGAAGGGGCTCCAGAAAGACAGATAGGTGGGATACACCACCAAGTGCTGGACACAGTACACACAACCGAGGAAGAAGTGAAGAGGCTTCTGAGTGAGCTAGATACATCAAAGGCAATGGGGCCGGATAACATCTCTGCATGGGTCCTGAGAAAGGGAGCAGAGGCGCTATGTGTACCCTTAACAACAATATTCAATACATCTATCGAAACAGGGAGATTGCCTGAGGCATGGAAGACAGCAAATGTAGTTCCACTCTTTAAAAAAGGAGACAGACATGAAGCACTAAACTACAGACCAGTGTCACTGACATGTATAGTATGCAAAGTCATGGAGAAGATTATCAGAAGAGTGGTGGAACACCTAGAAAGGAATGATCTCATCAACAGCAGCCAACATAGTTTCATGGACGGGAAATCCTGTGTCACAAGGATTGAGGCTAAAACGTTGTGTAGTTTTAAAAATAAGTTAGATAAATGCATGATTGGGTGTGGGTGGGTGTGAGTTGGACCTGACTAGCTTGTGCTGCTGGGTCCTGTGCCGTGCTCCTTCCTTGAGTGGAGGTGCCAGACTGGGTGAGTCATTGGGCTAATCAGCGGGGGGTCATTGGGCTAATCCGGAGAGGGGGACATGAACCTGCTCTGCATGGGTCAGTAGGCCTGTTGCATTGTTCCTTCTTTCTTATGTTCTTATATTCTTAAAGAATCGTTCAAGACACTGTACACTGTGTACGTCAGGCTCATACTGGAGTATGCAGCACCAGTTTGTAATCCACACCTGGTCAAACGCATCTGTAGCCAATGATCCTAAATGCCTAATTCCCATAGATTCCACCAGAGGCCAGGCCTCTCTCTCACTCTCTCAGTGGCGTTCACTCAGTCAACAAGGTCTGCTCCTCTCTCCCTCACGGGCATGGCACCATCCGGGCCTGGGCACTTAAACACTGCCTGTGTACCGCACGACATTGCAAATAAAGTAAGATGCCTCCGAAGCCTTATCATTACTCCCATATACCAAGAAGGACCCATTAAACCAGAAAACATTGGTGACAGCGGTGCCTCGAAGTAAGTGTGTTAGCCTGGAGAGAGAGAGGAAGAGGAATGAAGTTGTCTTCACTTTATCACCCTATACAAGAAGCATCCGTCTCTCAACGAGTTATCCTGATGTCGTGTTTGCACGTTTCAGCATTCAGACACAGGTACACGCAGAATCCAGGCCGAAATTTGCCGAATTTTATCGAAAAATATATGTGGCGTCCCTGCAACTCCACGTCACAGCGTCCCACGCTGTTCTCAAGTCACGTGCTCAGCATTACCAGTATGTTCTGCTGTTGTGTTCAGCTCAGCACGGCTATTTCAGCAAGTCACTCCCTCTCTGCTGTGTTTTTTGTGTGAATTCTTGGCCAGAGCTGTGTATCCGAGTGCCCAAGGTCACTCGAAGCTACGTGGATCACGAAGTTACATGTAGGCGATGCCACGTGGATCTACTAGCCATGTAGATTCACGAGCCACGTGGATCTACAAGCCCCGTGGGTTACCAAGCCAGACGTCCCAAGCCACATGCTGTGGTCTGCTGCCTCATCACTCCACTGACGTCACCCACGATGTTGCCCAACTTTACGATGTCACCCACGATGCTGCCCGACTTCACGACGTAACCCACGATGCTGCCCGACTTCACGATGTCTGCCTGACGTTACTCGCGATGTCACCCCATGACATCACCTCACGACGTCACGCCTGACATCACCACATGATGCCATATCGACAGTGTTAGTTTCACAGTGAGCAGTGTTTGTGTTGTCGAGAAGATTGAGGGAAGACATATGTCGTGTGTTAATTAATTTCTCTCAGTCAGTGTTCTCACAAGTTCGTGTATGGCTTAGTGTCGATTTTTGCACAGAAAAGCGTCATTTGTTAGTAAGCCTGGCTCACCAAAGGTACTACGGCCCAGGTACCTATTTGCTGCTACGTGAACAGGACAACAGGTGTAAGGAAACGCCTCGAAATGTTTCCATCCGCCGGGAGTCGAAGCCGGCCACCAGGCCAGAAATGAATATGCATGGATTAGGAGAGAGACAATACGAAAATGGTACGGTATCAAAAGCCAAATCTGACCCAAAGTTCTTATACAGCCACATCGGTAGGAAAACAACAGTTAAGGACCAGGTGCACAGGCTGAGGAAGGAAGGAGGGAAGCTCACAGAGAGCGACCAGGAAATATGTGACAAGATCAGCTCAACATGCATTGAGGTATTCACAGTGGAGACAGAAGCTTCCAGCAAACCGAGGGAGTAGGATGCACCAGAAGTGTTGGACACACTGCACACAACCGAAAAGGAGGTGAAGAAACTGCTATATGGACTAGATACCTCGAAGGCGGTGGGTCTAGATAATATGTCATTGTGTGCACTGAGAGAGGGAGCAGATGCACTATGTGTGCCACTAACAATAATCTTCAATAAATCTACTGAAACAGGGCAACTGCCTGTTTCAGTAGATTTAATGAAGAAATGCTTCCTAACATCATCGTGACATTGAGTCACAATGATGTTAGGAAGCATTTCTTCAGTCATAGAGGTTTCAGGAAGGGGAACAATCTGAAGAGAGTGATGTAGTGGAGGCAAGATCCAGGCAAAGCTTTAAGAAAAGGTTCGATATAGCTCATAGAGACGGGAGATGTTGACCTAGTAGCGACCAGCGAAGAGGCGTGGCCAGGAGCTATGAATGGGCCCCTGCAACCACAACTAGGCGAGTACATCTAGGTGAGTATATACGTACACACACACACAAACATAGACAAGCACACACAAACACACACACATACATGCTCACACTAATATGTATAAGTAGTACTTATTAAAGAATTTTTCCATCTGTTTACATTTCATTAATAATTTTCTCTGTGTGATGCTGATAAGCTTTCCTGTGTAGCAGAGCGCGGGTGTGAAACATCTCCAGAAGTGTGTGAACATCTTTGTCACGATAACAGATATGCCATTTCCCATCACATTTCTCATCACATTTCTTATCACACTTCAGGATTTTGCAGGAGTCGATCAGACGTTCGTATTCAAACGTCACCTACATGAAGAGAATAACCACATGAGAGGAATAACGACATGGGAGGGATAACTAACATTGAGAGGGATAACTAAAATGAGATTAATAATTATATGAGGAAGAATAACTACATGATAGGAATAACTACATGATAGGAATAACTACATGAGAGAATAACTAACATGAGAGGAATAACTACATGATAGGAATAACTGTGAGAGGAATAATTTACATTAGATGAACAACTACATGAGAGGGATAACTACATGAGAGGGATAACTACATGAGAGGGATAACTACATGAAGGAAAACTACCTGAGAGGGATAACTACATGAGAGGGAAAATTACATAAGGGGCATAACACTCTGCAAAATTATCATCATTAAATTGCAATGAAAGTATACAAAATTCCACTCAATATTGTCAGAAGATGAAAATTTTGGGTCATTATCTGTGTATTTACAACTGTGATTGAAAACGATTCGTACAAGATAAGAGTGACGATGTATGGAACATAAGACTGATACATCCCACTAGTCCCCCAGACTATGAGAGTCACGTAGAAAGTAGTCCCACTTGTCAACATCCACTTTTGGGGTTTGCTGTTGCTGACAATCTGGTGAAGATTAAAATAAACATTATGAATATTTACTAGTAAGACAATGTCTGTTACTAATCAGATTCAGTAATATTTATTTCTATATTACGTTCTTTTCTGCGCTTCGCTGTCTCTCCGAAATTGCTAATAAGAATAACTCATTCCTCTATTTTATTTTGTTGTATTTTGTTGTCCATCACTGAAAATAAATTTTTTTTATCATTTACAATATACCAATTTTTCTAATATAACGTGAATGCCCTAGCTTCTGCTAAATACAATTCTTCTTAAATATGTGAATTTTTGAGAAAATATCTGACCATTATCGAGTAATTCTGAGGCTTCGTAATAGTTAAGTCATTCTCACTACTTATAATTGATGTATTAAAGACAAGATAAATTTGGATCTGGAAAATATGTTTGCGAACAGTTATGGAAAAGTTTAGCCAGCTGACTGGTGGAGCCCAATGGACATGGGCTATTATGTCTTATGTCCGTGTAGTATAAAATGTTCGTATTCTCCAGTGTAGTACTATTATGTTCGTATTCTACTGTAGGTCATTATACTTCTTATATTCATATATTCTATATCCGGTTGTGATGTATACCAATACACTGTTAGACTGCGTAGAGATTGAGAATGTATTTGGCAAACGTGCTCGTATTTAATCGCTAGCTGGTCATAAACATGACGGGGTAAATTGGACTCTGGAGTGCTTCTTTAATTATTCAAAATGCAATGTTATTTTTTTCTGTTTTCGATATAACTACAGTAAATAACCGAAGCATGTTGCATTGTGTGACTTGTTGCATGCTTTAAGTACGTATTGTTTGTGTTTAAATAAAATTTATAATTACCTATAGTGCACTAAGATCAATGTACATTATCTGACAGATGACAGTGGTGTGTGTGCGTGAGCACTCACCTGTTTGTACACACCTATTTACTCTCACCTATTTCTACACACCTATTCACACTCACCTATTTGTACACACCTATTTACACTCACCTATTTGTACACACCTATTTACACTCACCCATTTGCACTCACCTATTTGTGGCTACAGGGGTGGATTCAGCTCCTGGCCCTGCCTCTTTGCTAGAACTTTATCGTACTTCTTCGTTAAGTTATATATGGATTCTACCTCCACTACATCACTCTCTAGATTGTTCCACTTGCTGACGGCTCTATGACTGAAGAATTACTTCCTAATAACCCTGTGACTCATATGAATTTTCAGCTTTCAGTTATCACCCCTTGTTGCTGTGTCATATTTCTGAAACATTCTGTCCCTATCCACTTTGTCAATTCCTCTCAGTATCGTTATCATATCCTCCTTATCCCTCCTGTCCTCCAGCGTCGTTAGGTTGATTTTGCTTAACCTCTCCTTGTACGACATACCCCTTAGCTCAAGGATTAGTCTTGTTGCAAACTTTCTTTAATTTTTTGACGTGCTTGACCAGGTGTGGGTTCCATAGTGGTTCTGCATACTCTAATATGGGCCTGACGTACACAGTGTACAGTGTCTTGAATGAATCCTCATTCAGGTGTCGAAACTATTCTTAGGTTCTCCAAGCGCCCATATGAGAGAGCAGTTATTTGGATGTTGTTTGCCTTAGATGTGCTCGGTGTGATACTCACCCCTAGATCCTTTTACTTGAGTCAGGTTTGGAGCCTATGGCCTCTAGCCTGTACTCCGTCTGCAGTTTTCTTTGACCTTCCCCAATCTTCAAGACTTTTCACTTGATGGGGTTAAACTCCAGGAGCCAATTGTTCTACCAGGCTTGCAGCCTGTCCAGATCCTTTCGTAATCCTACCTAATCCATATCCACTTAAATTCTCCACACTAATTTCACATCGTCTGCAAACAGGGACACCTCTGAATTTATCCCTTCTCTCATGTTATTCACATATACCAGAAACAGCACCGGCCCTATTACTGTTCCTAGTGGAATCCCATTCGTCACTTGCGCCCACTCTAACACCTTGTCACGTACCATCACTCGTTCTTTCCTTTATGTCAAGTATTCCCTGATCCATTACCGTGCTTTCCCTGTTATTCCTGCTTGTTACTCTAACTCTTGCAATTTTCTCTTGTGCGGAACTGTGTCGAAAGCCTTCTTACAGCCCAAGAAAATTCAGTCTACTCATCCAACTCTCTCTCTCTCTCGTGTCTTACTTCCGTCACCTTGTCGTAGAACTCCAGTAGGTTTGTGTGTGTCAAAAGTGACGCTAGTTCACCACACACTGACTCTCGCTTCCAGGGTCTTGCACAAATCTTGGAAAAATTACCAATTTAACTATTACTGACATTGAAGAAAATAATTGTATTACGTAACATAAGTAACTAATGTGGTTAAAATATTCTGCGAATTTAGCAGCTGTATATTTATTATTATTTTACTTTCTTGACAGTCCAAAATAGAATATTTATACTTACTGTGGATATTCTTGAGGTGTGTTGAAATATTTTGCACCGAATACTTCATATCATTTAAAGGTGTTCATCCTCCAGCAGTGATAGTTAGTGTTGATAACAAGTTAGTACTGATAACAAGTTAGTACTGATAACAAGTTAGTAATGATGAGTTAGTACTGATAACAAGTTAGTACTGATAACAAGTTAGTAATGATGAGTTAGTACTGATAACAAGTTAGTACTGATAACAAGTTAGGACAGATAAGTTAATACTGATAACAAGTTAGTGCTGATAAAAAGTTAGTACTGATAACAAGTTAGTACTGATAAGTTAGTACTGATAACAAGTTAGTACTGATAACAAGTTAGTACTGATAACAAGTTAGTACTGATAAGTTAGTACAGATAAGTTAGTATTGATAACAAGTTACTACTGATAAGTTAGTACAGATAAGTTAGTATTGATAACAAGTTAGTACTGATAAGTTACTACTGATAAGTTAATACTGATATCAAGTTAGTGCTGATAATAAGTTAGGACTGATAAGTTAGTACTGATAACAAGTTAGTATTGATAACAAGTTAGTACTGGTAAGTTAGTACTGATAACAAGTTAGTACTGATAAGTTAGTACTGATAACAAGTTAGTATTGATAACAAGTTAGTACTGATATGTTAGTACTGATTACAAGTTAGTACTGATAACAAGATAGTACTGATAAGTTAGTGCTGATAAGTTAGTACTGATAAAAAATTAGTACTGATAAGTTTGTGCTGATAAGTTAGTACTGATAACAAGTTAGTACTGATAACAAGTTAGTACTGATAAGTTAGTGCTGATAAAATTTTTTACTGAAAAACAAGTTAGTACTGATAAAAAATTAGTACTGATAAGTTAGTACTGATAACAAGTTAGTACTGATAAGTTAGTGCTGATAAGTTAGTACTGATAACAAGTTAGTACTGATAAGTTAGTACTGATAAGTTAGTACTGATAACAAGTTAGTACTGATAACAAGTTAGTACTGATAAGTTAGTGCTGATAAGTTAGTACTGATAACAAGTTAGTACTGATAAGTTAGTACTGATAAGTTATGTACTGATAACAAGTTAGTACTGATAACAAGTTAGTACTGATAAGTTAGTACTGATAAAAAAGTTAGTACTGATAACAATTAGTACTGATAAGTTAGTACTGATAACAAGTTATACTGATAACAAGTTAGTTACTGATAAGTTGTACTGATTACAAGTTAGTAACTGATAACAAGTTAGTTTCTGATAACAAGTTAGTACTGATAAGTTAGTGCTGATAAGTTAGTACTGATAACAAGTTAGTACTGATAAGTTAGTACTGATAAGTTAGTACTGATAACAAGTTAGTACTGATAACAAGTTAGTACTGATAACAAGTTAGTACTGATAACAAGTTAGTACTGATAACAAGTTAGTACTGATAACAAGTTAGTACTGATAAGTTAGTACTGATAAGTTAGTACTGATAACAAGTTAGTACTGATAACAAGTTAGTACTGATAAGTTAGTGCTGATAAGTTAGTACTGATAAGTTAGTACTGATAACAAGATAGTACTGATAACAAGTTAGTACTGATAACAAGTTAGTACTGATAACAAGTTAGTACTGATAACAAGTTAGTACTGATAACAAGTTAGTACTGATAAGTTAGTACTGATAAGTTAGTACTGATAACAAGTTAGTACTGATAACAAGTTAGTACTGATAAGTTAGTGCTGATAAGTTAGTACTGATAAGTTAGTACTGATAACAAGTTAGTACTGATAACAAGTTAGTACTGATAACAAGTTAGTACTGATAACAAGTTAGTACTGATAACAAGTTAGTACTGATAACAAGTTAGTACTGATAAGTTAGTACTGATAAGTTAGTACTGATAACAAGTTAGTACTGATAAGTTAGTGCTGATAAGTTAGTACTGATAACAAGTTAGTACTGATAAGTTAGTACTGATAACAAGTTAG